GAGGCGGGTGGATCACGAGGTCAAGAGATCGAGACCATCCTGGTCAACATGGTGAAACCCCGTCTCTACTAAAAATACAAAAAATTAGCTGGGCATGGTGGTGCGTGCCTGTAGTCCTGGCTACTCGGGAGGCTGAGGCAGGAGAATTGCCTGAACCCAGGAGGCGGAGGTTGCGGTGAGCCGAGATCGTGCCATTGCACTCCAGCCTGGGCAACAAGAGAGAAACTCCGTCTCAGAAAAAAAAAGAAGATAAATTGTATAATCCCGTTTAAGTCAAACACATCTGTCCTCTGTGTGTCAGGAGAGGGTAGGTGTGAGGGTCATTGGTGCTTTCTCTATTCCCTAGTCTACTGCACAGACAAATGGCAGAGGAGGGTGGATTGACTCATTGTCCTGGGAGAAGGATGTAACACACTTTTTGTGTTGATCGCTGTGTGGGTGTTTCTGGGAAGAATGGTTATGGGAAGGGGAACAAAATGATGTAGCCCAGTCCTCCCAAATCTTTACGACCTGCCTGGCACGAAGTGGGAAAGGCTTGCATTGAAGGGCCTGGGTGGTCGGCTTGGAGCCCTTCTCTGGTCTAGGGGGAACACTGGGCTTCCACCACTGTGGCTGCTTTGGGAGTAGTGAACCTGACTGACAAGTGGGAGTATTACTCACTAAGATTAGCTTCTGGTCACTTATTGAAGTCCTTCTACCATGGTCAGTGCATTGAAACAGGACCACATGGAACTGGACACCACCTCCGTCCAAGACGCCTGGAAGGGAACCCTCTGTGTGCAAGAGGGAGGTAGTGAGAGCTGTGTAGAGAGCAGCAGCGCTGCTTGTTGGACTTCTTGCTATCACCAGCACATGGGGCTTGAACATTTGAAGTCTTGAGGAAAACCAGGCCACACTAATTGAACCCTGAACTGTGCAGGGGAACACATGTGACTGTGCATGTGACTGCACATGTGTGTCAAAATGCCCTGTTCAATGTGTGAAACAATGTTCAACAAAATAAGAACAGGTTATCTCTAGGTGGTGGAAATTTGGAGTGATTTGGACTTACTCCAGTATAGTCTTCTGTATTCGATTTTTGTCTTGATTTCTATTGGGCATTTCTTG